AAACCGGGTTTAAAAGGAGAAAAAAAGGAATTTTTTTCGGATTTGGTACGAGCGGGGGGGGGATCCAAAAAGGAAGTCAATCCCCCTCCCTACTATAAACATTCTAAAACAAGGACCGGGCAACCAAGGTCACGAAAGAACTGTATTTTTGATAAAAACCAAGAATTTCACGATGGGAAACTACAAGAAACTGTGCTGGAGGAGAAGAGTGGAGGGAGAAGGAAAGCGAAACCCCCCCCCCCGGGAACCGGGGCGATTGGAGAGAGAGCCTAGTGAAAAGAGACAGAGACTTTGACAGCTGTCAAAGTAGCTGTCAAAGCCGGGGAAATTTAAAGAGGACTCTGTTTTGAGGACTTTGCTGGTTAAATTTGTTACAAATTGCTAAGATTCGGATACAAAATGGCGAAAATACCGAACAACAACCAGACTTTTGGACTAGAGGATACAAAGTTATAACAATCCCCCTAGAGGAGTTTCGGGACATTACAAAGATGGTCGTAAGTGGAAAAATACCTTCGGAATTTTACAGGACTGGTTATCTTCTGGGAAAGCTGCAAAACTGAAATAGTATTATGTCTACAGGGGTGTTTACATTAAAGGAGACAATAGAATACTCTATTGAAGAAAGGAAGGGACTGAACGCAAGTTTCTGTTCCTGAATAACAAAATCCCCTGTAGAGCTACTAAATTTCTGAATTAGAACGCCTTAGCAGCGGAAAAAGATGAAACTGGACTACAACATGGAAAGAACAATGGGGGGAGCCTTAAAGACTAAAGATTGGAGATTTGAAGTTAAATACTATAAAAATAACTTTAATTTTTTTTTAAAAAAAAAAAAAAGACTGGCAAGGAACTGGGGGAAATCTGATTATGGATTTAAGAATTCCAGGCAGACAATATAGATTGGTGGACAGGGGGAACTCAAACCGGGGAAGGGGGGGGGAGAACTAGAATCCAAAGGCTTGCAACTACTTTTGAATTCTTTTTTCTATATACTTTTTATCTTTTTATATCTTTATATTGTTTTTCTTTATATATTTTGCTGGGTGTTTTTATTTAAAAAAAAAGGGAATTCATGGAAGGAAATTGGGGGGACCTTGGGGACAGATTTTTTGTTTTTTTATCAAGGGTAATGATGAGGACTGTATAAGCTTAAATTCGAATATTGGGCTAAACAAATTAAGTTTAAATTAGGAGGGAGAACTTGTTGAGCTAACGACATGAAAGGGGAATATGGCAGGGATGGGGGAGGGGGGAGTCCCAGAAAGTGGATAATGAAAATAAGGTTTTAAATGCATTCTGTTTTTGTCTTATCTTTACTTTCTGTTTTCTGAAAATTTTCAATAAATATGATTTTAAAAAAAAAAGATAGCTTTGCACCAGCAACTGATTAAAATATGGGATTATTAGAACGTTATTACACCTAACAAAGAAGGAATGTGAGAATATATTTAGAAAACTTCATCTCATATTAAGCCATTGTATATGTAGGTGACGTTTAATGCAGTTTGCAGTGCTCATTTATAAAATGTAGCTTAAGAAAAACATGAGCACTGAGAGAAATGTGCAATTGTGTGTGTGTGTGTGTGTGTGTGTGTGTGTGTGTGTTGCTGCTTTTATTTATATTTTGGAAAATATTAGCTTAATGTTTTGAATATCTGATTTTATCAGTAATTTTAATGTATATTTATATTTTATGTAAACCACTTTTGAGGATTAAGAGTCTATTAAATAAAAAGACTAAATTAAGATTTGATTCCTATTAGAATTCTATTCCTAATAAGGAGCTATCCATGCTGAAAGGTCTAGACACTGCTTTAGAACCACTCCCAGTACTTTTGCCAAATGATCCAGGAAAATTTGCTTAGGACACGATCTAGTGGTTCCTGTGAAGGTGTTCCAGGGACAATAGGATTTCACAACTCTTCTCTATGGGTAGAAAGAAAAGTCTACCCTTGGAAGCCCCCTGCCAGCCACCATCATCAGTGCTGTGGCAGCAGAGAGAGCAAAACAGGAGGCATTCTGGAGTCAGGCGTCAGTGAGTTGCACCTATCGGTGTATCCTAGCTGGTCAGATGCTAGTCATGAGAGATAAGAGACCTTGCTGGCCAGGTTACTAATGCTTCATTCATGGATAATTAGATATTCTGCTTCTGTAGCAGAATTCTAAATGTTAATTCCCTGACTAACCTCCTGGGAAAAGGTAGTTTAGTAAGAGTTGGCTGCTCAGCTGCAGACTTATTGGGATACTACCAGTTGCTTAGACCCTACCTACCCTGGCTATCAGGTTGGACATAACACTGATAGTGTGCTTGTGGCTTTGATAGATGATCACCATATAGAGATTAGGGAACCTGTATACAAGTACAGTGGTACCTCGGGTTACAGAAACTTCAGGTTACGCGATTTCAGGTTGTGCACCGTGATGAACCCGGAAGTACCGGAACAGGTTACTTCCAGGTTTCAGCGCTCGCACATGTGCAGAAGCACTAAATTGCTTTTGCGCATGCACAGAAGTGCCGAATCGTGACCTGCGCGTGTACAGAAGCGGCACTGCGGGTTGTGAATGGTGTGGGTTGTGAACATGCCTCCTGCATGGATCACGTTCGCAACCCAAGGTTCCACTGTATTTCATCTGAGCCTAATCCTTAGGAAGACTCTGGCAATAGTAAAATCACCATTATAGCCACATTTTAGGTTATTGTCAATTAAGAATTTATTATATACCTCCCCCTTCCCTTCAAAAATACAGAATAATGTGTACGCAAACAGAGCTATAAACAGTACTTTATAGGCGAGTCTTTTTTTTGGGGGGGGGATGTTTATGAACTGCCCTCAGATCTATGGATGAAGGGTGGTATACAGATTTAGTAAATAATATTAATAATGTAATAATTTTATGGTAGTGATATTTATCACCATTTGTCAAATTAAAAATAAATTAATAAGATGATGATTCATTTCCAAAATTAGCATGCTGTTGTTTAGTCGTTTAGTCGTGCCCGACTCTTCGTGACCCCATGGACTAGAGCACGCCATACTGTGTTTTTAACATTTATTGCGAGGCAATTTAAGTAGCTTGTAGTAAAACCAGATGCCAGTTATGCAACTAGCAACTGAGCAAATATTTTTTGAAAGTAAATAGCAGACATAGTCGACCAATCTTGACTGAGACTCTGACAGAAGATGTTGAGCATTAACCTTGTGCTCCCTGATCTCAATCCAGTTCAGACCAATTACATTGAAAGGAAAGTTCCCGCCAGTGCAAAAAAGGAGGTATGGAGCCCTCATTCCTATTCTACCTCCTTTGTTGCAGAGAGTATGTCTCTGTATGCCTGTTGCTGGCAGTCACAAGTAGGGAGGTAGCTGTGTACTCAAGTCCTACTCAAGTCCAGGTTCCCCAAAGGCATCTGGTTGGTCATTGTGGACTAGATTGGCTTTTGGTCTCAGCCAGCAGAGCTTTTCTTACATTCTTATGTACTATAGCATAAGATAAGGCGGCCTTCCACATTCCATCAGCTGTGAACCTGCTATTTACTTATAAACATCTGAGGTGAGTGTTGCTTCTAGTCTTTGGCACTCATATAAGTTGAAGAAGCTAGGTATAATGGTTTTTGTTTTGATTTGATTTGATTTGATTTTTTTAAAAAGATCCTGCACTGATCTGAAAAGACTGATCTCTAGAAGCATCTAGGGATATATTCTCCTGTGATTCTGAACTGAAGCAATGGTAACCAGGAAAGATACTGTATTCCCTGCAGGACAACTCATGTCATACAACACATATAGAACAGAACATCTCAGATATCTTGTCTTCTAAATTGCAGGCAGGCAGGCAGGATAAAGGAAAGAAGGAAGGAAGGAAAGAACGAAAGAAGACAGATGTGCCTTAATCCTTAATAAAGTGAAGATGAGAAAGGAGAAAATGTGGTTTTCATGCCATGGAGGTAAGCAGTTTTCTGTCTCACTTATCCTTCTGCAAATTTTCAATCTGATCAACTTAATAAGAAACAGAATTATATCCATGAACTTCAACAATCATGCTGTGAAACATTCAGGAATTGTAATATTTAGGCAATGCATAACCAGTGTTACAAGTATACCTGAGGCTGCGAAATTGTTGAGATAAATTGGGTGTGGACCCTATTGGTCTCCTTTTTATGGATGACTACTGGGAGCCCCATGTCATGCTATGAGATGTGCATGATAAATGTTTCTGAAATGCAAACTTATGAACATTGGACACATGTGCATCATAACACATATAAGCAGTTTTTTGTGTGTGATGGGACTCAAGAGTACAGAGTACCACCCCCCTCCCCTGCTGGCATCCATGACACTTTTAACAATATGTGAGTACCAGCACATATTTTCCCCACCCTGTTCTGCACTTTACATAGGATTTTCATAAGACTTGGGAGCACTCTCTCCTTGCTACCTTGAAAATGATGGCTTTCTTTTGTTAGGTGGGAAATTGCTGTCTTGGTATGGTGGATGGAAACGACACTGGGATAAATCAGTATAAAGGAGAGTCCCCTTAAAGGGCCCAAGATAGTGGGGACTGGCCATGGCACCTCAGGTTGGGGTATCTGCCTGGCTAGAATCCTCATTCTCTTTGCCCAGTGAGAACTTGCCAACTTGGCTTGCACCATGACAAGGTTCAGCACTGGGCAACTCCAATGGTGCAGGCTTGGCTTAGTCCAACTGCTGGATTCCATTCCACTACTATCAGGTGAGTGGAATGATGAGCCGATCCTGGCCCTACTGCCATTCCAACCTATAACATGCTTGGTGCCATCAATAAAGATTTGACCTGATTTCATTCCAACTCTTGGTGTCCTGTCTGCACATTTGCTGCTCTTCTGGGTCAAATAATTCACCTGCCAGGCTAATCTATTAACTTTAATGTTATTTCTTTTTTCAAAGATAGATTCCAAGATCTCTTTAATCTCTGATGAATGCACTTCATAAACTATGGAACAGACTACATGAGGAAAGCAGATGAATGTTACAGAATATATCCTCTTGGGTTTTGGAAAATTCGGTCAATGGCAAAATATACTATTTTTTGTTTTCCTCTTGATCTATATTGCAGCCATGATTGGGAATGTACTCATTGTAATTTTAGTGGTAGTTGATCAGCATCTACATACGCCCATGTATTTCTTCCTGGGCAACTTGTCGTGCCTAGAGACTTGCTATATATCAAATGTCATGCCCAAAATGATGGTGGGCTTGTTGACTGAGGAAAATGTGATTTCATTCAGCGGCTGTTTTGTGCAGTTCTTTTTCTTTGGTTACCTAATGGCAACAGAATGCTATCTTCTCTCAGTAATGTCATATGATAGATATTTAGCAATATGCAAACCACTGCATTACACAACAACTATGAATGCACAAATGTGCATCCAACTAGCAGTTTCTTCGTGGATAAATGGACTTATAGCTACTTTAATACTTTTGAGTTTTATGCTAGAGTTAACATACTGTGGTCCCAATGAAATTGATCATTATTTCTGTGATTCTGTCCCACTTATAAAACTTTCCTGTAGTGACACCAACCTGGTGGAAGTTATGAGTTTTGTCCTGGCATTCATATTTACCCTGCCACCTTTTCTCCTCACCTTGACATCCTACATAGCCATCATAACTACCATCTTGAAAATTCCTTCTACAACTGGGAGGAAAAAAGCATTTTCCACTTGCTCTTCTCATCTTATTGTAGTTTCTACCTTCTACGGAGCCATCATGATAGTGTATATGTTACCGAAGAGAGAAGCACTCCGTGATCTCAACAAAGCTTTCTCTCTCTTGTATACAGTCCTACCCCCTGTTGCAAATCCTCTTATATACAGCTTGAGAAATAAGGAGGTAAAGCATGCCATAGGGAAATTATTTGGAAAGTATTGCATTCCTCCAAGAAGCTGGAGAGAATTGTTACAATTATTAAGAAAAAGCAGTGGTGAAGCAACTTCATAATCAGAATTTCAGGTGTGTTTTCCTTGAACTGTTTTACCTCTTTTAGCCCCCACCCTGAAGAAAACGCCGAAATAGTGTGCAGGTTGACCTAGTTCTCTTAGTAATATTGTAATGAAATATTACAGTAAATTGTCTCTAAAATGTGTTTTTGTTCATACTGCTTTACCATGCGTGCTTAGTATTCTGCTAAATAAAAATAATGTCTTCCTACTTTGTCATTCCTTTGAATTCTTCCTTTCTACACATTAACAGCAACACCTGGAGCTGCAACCCACTTTCATCCTCCTTGCCCTGCTTATGTGTGCCTGTGAGTTTCATAGAATCAGAATTCTGGAGTTGGATGGCACTAGCTAGTCCACTCCCAGCAATGCATGAATCACAGTTGACATCCTACATAGCCATCATAACTGGTCCTGGACCATCCAAAATCTGTTTGGAAACTTCCAATGAAGGAGAGTTTCTATAAACATTTTCCTACCTTCTCTGCTAGGAAGGGGTGATACTTTTCTTTTCTTTTGTTCTGTTCTTCATATCCTTCATATTATTAATTTGATCATTATTAAAGGTAAAGGTACCCCTGCCCGTACGGGCCAGTCGTGTCCGACTCTAGGGTTGCGCGCCTATCTCGCTTAAGAGGCCGGGGGCCAGCGCTGTCCAGAGACACTTCCGGGTCACGTGGCCAGCATGACGAAGCTGCTCTGGCGAGCCAGCACCAGCGCAGCACACGGAAATGCCGTTTACTTTCCCGCTATAAAGTGGTACCTATTTATCTACTTGCACTTAAGGGTGCTTTCGAACTGCTAGATGGGCAGGAGCTGGGACCGAAGGACGGGAGCTCACCCCGCCGCGGGGATTCGAACCGCCGACCATGCGATCGGCAAGCCCTAGACACTGAGGTTGTACCCACAGCACCACCAGGTGTGATCATTATTATTACACACTTATACACAATTATGTGTGTAATTCCATTCCAAGCCCAATCTACACGGCGTGGTTTTGCCTGGCAGTGCGAGCCCCAATGAAGCAGAAAATGAGGTGAGTTCCATCAATGGCTTGCTTCCACAGGTGTCCACAGGACAGATTCCCCAATAAGGTAAAAAGGTAAATGACCCCTGGACAGTTAAGTCCAGTCAAAGGCGACCATGGGGTTGTGGTGCTCATCTCACTTTCAGGCTGAGGGAGCCAGTGTTTGTCCACAGACAGCTTTCCGAGTCATGTGGCCAGCCTGACTAAACCACTTCTGGTGCAACGGAACACCATGACAGAAAGCAGAGTGCATGGAAATGCCATTTACCTTCCTGCCACAGCAGTGTCTATTTATCTACTTGAACTGTCCTGCTTTTGAACTGCTAGGTAGGCAGGAGCTGGGACAGAGCAACAAAAGCTCATCCTGTTGTGCGGATTCGAACCGCAACCTTCTGATCGGCAAGCCCAAGAGGCTCAGTGGTTCAGACCACAGCGCCACCCATAGGCAGGGCTGGATTTAGATGAAGAGAGGCCCTAGGCTATTCCACTTGTGAGCAGGGCATTTTCACTGGTGGTGCCCATTGTATGCCTCGCTATTCCCAGACCTGCTCTCTTTTGGCCTGTATTTTGGAGCTTTATAATTTAGGAAGACTTTGGAAGAATTGGATGACAAGTCTTATCAGTTGCTGACGTATGAGTGGATTTTATTTGCTGCTATTCTGGGCTCCTGGTGAACCAGGATTTACACCAGTGTAATAGAGTTGGCCAGGACACCAGAATGGATACAATTTATGAGCTTTCTCCATCATCTGCACAGCACGTGGTGTTCAGTCAACAGTGCAAAGGCTAAGCTGAACCGTTCCCTGCTGGTTCCCTGCTTTCAGCAATAGGGGTCGCTGTTTGGTAGTACAGTGGAACATCGGGTTAAGAATTTAATTCGTTCTGGAGGTCCATTCTTAACCTGAAACTGTTCATAACCTGAGGTATCACTTTAGCTAATGGGGGCTCCCGCTGCCGCCACGCCACCGCCGCCCAATTTCTGTTCTCATCCTTAAGCAAAGTTCTTAACCCGAGGTACTATTTCTGGGTTAGCAAAGTCTGCAACCTGAAGCATCTGTAACCTGAAGTGTCTGTAACCTGAGGTACCACTGTACCCAATTGGTTAGCTGTCAGATTCTAGAGCTCCCTATAGGTGACTCTTAGGTAATTCACAAAATACAGAGTCCATTCATAAAACACAGTGTTCATTCATAAAGCAGTAACATAAATCTCCATTGCTACATATTGGGGGTATATTTCAGCTGCTGAAGTACGGGTTTATGGCCATGCTGTAGTGTAGTGCTTATGTGAATGTGAATAAAAGGTGGCTGGGCTCATTGTCTCAGGGTTTGGGGTGGGGAGAGAGGTGACAAAACTGATTTCCAATAAGTGCCCCCCCATTTCTTAACAAGTCCTTGAGTCTGTACTCTGAATAGTGACACCAGGGACCTAGAAGGTGCAGGGCTTGTCAGTCCAACCCCTGCACAGTCTCATCGGGGCTGACCTTAAGGCAATTGAAGCAATTTGGCCAAATTGGGCCCCGTGTGCCGCTCTTAAGGGCCCACACACACACACCAGGGCAATCTAGATGGATTTTCTTTGTATCTATATGTTTTTTGAAAACTTTGGCTGTGACCTGGGGCCCTACCAAAAAAAAAAAAATCAAGTTGTGCCCTACTGCTTCAAATTGGGCCTCACTGGCTAGCCCCGATTCTCACAGTTTCTGGGCCTGAGTTGCCCTGCCTTTGCATGACGTCTTGGGTTTACGATTTGGGGAGAGGGGAGACTGCGGTACTGGGGAGTGGGCAGGCTGGTAAGGCCCCCTAGATTTAGAGGCCCAAGTTGCCCTCACATGAAGTCTTGGGTTTGCAATTTTGGATGAGGAGATTGCCTGCTTGGGAACTGGCAGGCTGGTGAGGCCCCCTAGGTTTTGAGACCCTAGGCTTCAGCCTACTTAGCCTATACATAAATCCAGCACTGCCCGAGAGAGAATCCTAGCAGATTGTGGAAGCCTAAAGCTTGACCCTAAATATATATCAGAGCCTAGGTAGTGGACCAATGGAATTTGGAGTATGGAGCTAGATCTAGAGAAGGGCTCAAGCAGGTTGACAGAAAAGTGTTCTGCTCCTGTGGTGTCAGATGCCTCTAGCTAGGCACCTCTGATAGTAAAGTCACAGCTTACAGCCCCTAAGTTGGTGAAGCCCCCACCCGCATGTTGGAGAGCTGAATAGGAGTAATTTGAGAGCCGGTGGTTGTATAGTGGTTAGAGTAGCAGAGCTGGACCTGGGAGGCTGGGTTTCAAATAATATGTCATATACTGAGTCAGACCTGTCTCTACCTCTGTCATTCTGGACATGGAGACATCAGAAATTGAACGCCTGTTTGCTTCTTTATTCCTGAGACACAAGCTGTTTGCCATTTTAAGAGGTGTTTTCCTGCCCCACTTTTCAAGAGGAAAAAGAAGGGGCGCACAATTTATTAAATAGATTATTTCATTCTTCTTATTTAAAATGTTTATTTATTTAATTAATTTTATACCATGGACTCACAGAAAAAATATGAAAAATGTATGTAAAAACAAGAAAACATAAAATCCTTTAAAAATAGAACACAAAGGTAAGGCTGACTGAGACATTAAACAAAGAGATTAAACAATTTTGAGTGATTTTCAATAAAAAAATATCATTGACCAATTTCTTTTGAGGGGATGATTGAAAACACTTTGAAACATTTATTTCAAGGTTAGTTTTTTTAAAAAAATAGTGACTAACAAATGAAGAAAACAACAGCCCTAGGAATGCCATGATAACTTCAAATTGAGGATGAAACACCATTTAAGGATGTGTGTTATAATAAAATATGCATTTAAATGTGTTTTTTATTGTCATTTATATTTTTAATACCAATTTCTTTTTCTTCAGGGTAACAAAAACAACCCTAAAACTGTCATGCACTGGAAATGGATACATCAACACATCCAAACCAGCGACTGAACTTTATATCACCCACCAAAAAACAGATGCTAGAGAAAATCACATTGTTGCTTCTTCTTCACATTAATTCACTTCATGTGATTTGCTTTGCATGACACAAGTTTATGAATTTTATTTCTCAGGGCATCTTTGACCTCCTTATTTCTCAGGCTGTATATGAATGGGTTGGCAAGAGGTGGCAAAACTGTGTACAAGAGAGAGGAAAATTTTTGCATCTCTTTGTTGACTTCACCCTTTGGTAACATGTACACAATCATTAGCGAACTATAAAAAATTGAAACTACAATCAAGTGAGAGGAACAGGTGGAAAAGGCCTTTTGTCTCCCAGTGGCGGAGGGTATTCTTAAGATGGCAGCAATAATATATGAATAGGATGTTATAGTTAGAACAAAAGGAGGAAATGTGAATATGACAGCTACTATGAAACCTATATTTTCCACGAGGCTGGTGTTGCTGCAAGAGAGTTTAAGAAGAGGGAAGTAGTCACAAAAGTAATGATCCATTTCCCTGGAGCCTGAAAATGATAATTGTAGCAACAGAATGAGTAATATAGAACACCCTATAAAGCCATTGAGCCAAGATGCAGCGACTAAATTGATACAAGAATTGGTTTTCATAGTAGTTGCATAATGCAAAGGTTTACAGATTGCTAGATACCTGTCATAAGACATCACACAGAGTAAACAGCATTCTGTAGCTTCCAAAGAACCAAAGAGATACCACTGTGTGAAGCAGCTGTTGAAGGAAATTGTTCTGTCTCTGGTCAGGAGAGCTGAAAGCATTCTTGGAAATATATTGGAGCTGTAGCAAGCCTCCAAGAAGGAAAGATTCCCAAGAAAGAAGTACATGGGAGTATGTAGATGGTGATCAATGACAACAAGGACAACAATCAAAGTATTTCCAGTTACGGTCACCATGTATATGATGAGAAATGTCAGGAAAAGAAGTGTCTGCAATTCATAGAATTCCCCAAATCCGAGGAGGATAAATTCTGTAATTGTT